CTTCCAATCAGTTGGCCAGATCAGATAGTTGTCTTCCAAATTTCTTGGCAGAGATGAGTGAGTGCCTCCTGTGCCGCCTCACTTTCTTGAAAGATTTCCATTTTTATTCCATCAATTCCTGGTGCCTTATTTGCCAGTTCCTTCAGTGCACCTTGGACTTCCTCCTTCAGTATCATGATGGCTGAATAACTATATACATTATCTGTTCTTTTTACCTGTCCTCTTACTAACTAAACTATATTATTTAAATTTCCTTTCTAAACTGTATTAAAAAAAAAAACAAACCCAGAGTTTTTTGGGTGTTTTTTTTTTCAAGGTTTTTGTTTGAACTTAGCTCCATTGTTCATTCCTTCTGCTTGCACCCTGTACCTCATCCATTGATGAATCTTGTCATCAATCTGTGAAATGAAATATATCTTTTTTTTTTTAATGTTTTATTGTGAATTATGTGATAATTTACATGGGAGAACATTAGTTTTATCTTCATCCTGTTGTATAGCATTTCTTTGCCATGGTTACAATCCCCTCTATGGATCATCAACCAACCAAAGGCTATACCCTGCAAGCCTGCCCCCTGGGTCATCAGCACACAGCCCCTCTCCCTCTCTTTCTCTGGGTCTAAAGTCCCCATCTGCTCCATCTCTTCAAGTCATCGTCTCTGACTCCATCTCTGGCGTCACTGCTTCTCTGGGTAGAATCCCGCACTCCTCTCTTCTCCCTTGATGGTCCCAGGGACCTCCACTCCTAGACTGCAAAGTTAATCACTCCCCTCCTTGCTACAAAACATCTACCTTTACATTTCCAACCCTCACAATCAGTCCTGATAACAATTATTCACTATTGTATCACAAGAGACCTATCTGCATTTCCTTTCATCAGCCCCGCCTAGACAGATTGGATACTACTCAGTGGAGATTCTACCTTCCTTCACGGCCTCTGGATCTAGTTTTTCTCTTGAAAGCTTGTAAGCCTGTCACTTCTTGCCTTTGTAGTTCTTCCCCCAACCCCCATTTTGGGTAGCCAGTGTCCAAGTTGCCCATCCATGTCTACTCTGTGTATGGAGGGCATGGGAATGATCCTTGCTGTAAAGATTTGTTTCCTCTTTTTTTTTTTTTTTCTGCTGAATAGGCTGCCATTGTCTGGTTATGCCACAATTTATTTACCCATTCACCTGTTAATGAACATTTGGGTCATTTTCACTTTGGCGATATTACAAATCAATTACTATAAACATTCATATTTAAATCTTTGCATGGACATATGCTTTCATTTTTTCACTCATCTGTCAGTGTATCGTAATGTGGTAACTTGCTGTGATACTGGAAGCTATGCCATTGGTGTTTCAAATACACAGGACCACCCATGATGGACATGTTTCAGCAAAGCTTCCAGGCTAATAGACCAGGAAGAAGGAAAGTCTGTCCACTCCTGGGGGATAAACCACTGAAAACCTAATGAGTGGACTCAGACATAAGGATGATGGCTCAGGACTGGGCAGGATTTCATTCTGCTGTACAGAGGGCTGTTAATGGGGTGACATCTAGCAACAACAACATGTTTTAATTTGTTTGGTTTAAACATCTAGAAGTAGAATGGCTGCATCATATGGAAAAAACTGCCAAACTGTTTTGTTGAGTAGTTGTGTGATTTTACCTTACCACCAACAGTGTTTGGGAGTTTCAGTTGATCCCATATCTTCACCAACACTTGGTACAGTGTAGTCAGTCTTTCAATTTTAGACATTTGAAAAAGGTATGAAAAAATATTTTTCAATTTTGGCTTAAATGGGCATTTCTGAATTACTAATGCTGTTGAGTTGAGCATCTTTTCATGAGCTTATGTATTATCCTTGTATTTTATCTGGTGGAGTTTTATTCAAAACGTACACATCCCTACTATTTTTTTTTTTTTTAATGTTTTATTGTAAATTATGTGATAGGTTACATGGGAGAACATTAGTTTTACATTCATCCTGTCATATATTGTTTCATTGCCATGGTTACAGTCCCCTCCATGCATCATCAACCAACCAACGGGTATACCCTGCAAGCCTACCTCTCTCTCCCCACTTGTCAGCACACAGTCCTTCTCCCTCTCTGGGTCTAAATTCCCCAGCTGCTTCATCTCTCCACGTCATCATCTCTTGCCTTTGTCTCTGGCATCACTGCTTCTCTGGGGTAGGGTCCTGCTCTCCGTGATTCTCCCTTGTTGGTCCCAGGGACCTCCGTTGCTATTCTGCAAAGTTAATCACTCCCCTCCTTGCTACAAAAACGTCACTGTTGTATCACAAGAGACCTATCCTCATTTCCTTTCATCAGCCCCACTTAGACAGTGGAGATTCTACCTTCCTCTATGCCCTCTGGATCTAGGCTCCCTCTTGAAAGCTTGTAATTCAGTCACTTCTTGCCTTTGTAGCCCCCCACCGCCCCACTTTGGGTAGCCAATGTCCAAGTTGCCCATCCTTGTCTACTCTGTGTATGAAGGGCATGAGAATGATCCTTGCTGCAAAGATTTGTTCCCTCTTTTGAGCTACTGCATCCATAGGTATAGGTCAAGTTCATCAAAGTGTATCAGATTACTCTTTTTTTCCCTCTTCTTCTAGTTGAGCTCTGATCATCCAGTCATCGAAGCCAGGTCAAGTGAATATTATCTGTAAGGGTGGTGTTCTTGTGAATATGCCCTCTCTTCTTATCAGCTGAACACTTCACTCTCCACTCTAGTCCTCTGTGACTATGTCACTGACTGTGGACTGAAGAGTCCCCAGGTCTTGCCACATTGCTGGCCAACCAGGTTTCCACCCGACACAGGACTCTATTGAACATTGTAGGGCTTAGCTCGCAGCTTCATTGCTGTTTTTCCTTCACTTCCCCTTATTGGTGACGAATATGGTCACCAATCAGAACGTGTATTCCCATTGAGTCTTAGTCTTGGAAGAGGGTTTGCTCTGAGGGGACTCAACCGCTTGCCTTGATGTCTCCTGGGTGAGCAACTTGCTTGTTCTTCTAGTAATCAGTCGGTCTGCCTATATTGTTTTGTATTTTTCCTGTCGGTCTTTCTTTCAAGAAGTATCTTCTGTTCTTCTAGCCGTTCCAGGCTGGACTGCCTGTCTTTTCAAGTGGAAATTTCCCACCACTGAAGATTCTGGATGCTGTTTAGGATTCCACCTATAGCCTTATGTAATGCAGAGGTATAAAATATATCTTAAAGTACATGTTTGTTGCTCCTCCTTCTCCTTTTAACATCTGTCACCCTGGAGTATTGTAAGAACCTACCAACTGTTTTATTACTCATTCTTTCTACAATGTGTTCCTCTTATTGAGTGGTCCTTTAAAATTTTTAAATTAGCCAATGTTCCTTCTGTCCCCAGTATCCTCTAGTGGCTTTCCATCACTCTCAGAATAAAATCCACATGATCCAAAAGCTCCTGGTTATATTGCCAACATAATTTCTTTCAACATTCTTTTTTCCTCTCTAGTTAAATTGTAATCTTTTTAATCGTTAGGACATAACAGTCTACTCCCTACCTTGAGGTCTTCTCATTTTTATTGACTTAGTCTGGAGCAGTCCACCATAGATATTTGCATGGTTTGTTCCTTTTTCTGGTCTCTCTCCAGGTATATTGTCTTAAGAAACACCTTTCCCAACCACCTTGTCTAACAGCTCCCAGTTTTGCCTGCTCTGTTTTCCTTTTTATAAAACTTTTTATTCCCTCATTCAGTGGAATGTATTTTCGATGAAGCTGAGACTTTGTTTAGTTTTGCTTTACTCCCAGCACTTAGAGTATTGTTTGGCACATAGTAGGTCTTCACATATGTTTTACAAATGAATGGATACCTTTTTGATAATTGTGATCTTTGCAGTTACATGTCTTTTGTAGCACATGGGTTATGCCAGCTGCCTCCGAACTGTAGAGCTGATTTGTTAAAAAAAAAAAAAAAAAAAAAAGTTCAGACTTCTAATATTGAGCTGTTGGCCAGTATCCTACTTGTTAATGAAACTAGAGTCTGATGCAGACATGAATCTAATCAGAAGTTTCAGAAGCTTACTGTATAGAGAAGGCTTTGTGGTCGATAACTTGGAAGCCTGCTGTCACAGGAAAGAAGGTCTAGGCCTCTTGGTACTTTCTTTTCATTTCTAGAAATCACGGATGAGGACAACAGTATAGCTGCCATGTATCAGGCTGTAGGTGAACTGCCCCAAGCCAACAGGGATACATTAGCTTTCCTCATGATTCACTTGCAGAGGTAAGTACAGCAGAAACTTAGTTCTGGGATTTAAAGAGTTTTCCAAGGGAAAGATAATATGGGCTGGGTGTTAGGAGGGAGCATAAAGGATGAGTTGTTTTCTAGTAGAATATTTTGGTATGCGTGTAAGTAGAGGAGGAGTGTTCTTATTTAATATTCTTTGCCTAGAGTTGCTCAGAGCCCAGCCACTAAAATGGATGTTGCCAATTTGGCAAAAGTCTTTGGCCCTACAATAGTTGCCCATGCTATACCCAATCCTGACCCAGTGATAATGTTACAGGACATCAAGCGTCAACCCAAGGTAGGTATATGAATTTGTGTAACAAGATAAATTGGGAATAAGATTTACTATGGGGCTTCAAAAGGTTTGTGGAAAATTTCTATTACCTTTTAATTCTATTTTCCACAAACTTTTTGAAGCCTTCCCCTTTGCATTTGTCTTTAGGATCTTATATGGAGAGAGAATACTGGGAGATAAGCCCTAAGCTTTGAACGTTTACTAACACATCTGGTGGCTTTTAGGTGGTAGAGCGCCTGCTTTCACTGCCATTGGAATATTGGAGTCAGTTCATGATGGTGGAACAGGAGAATATTGACCCAGTGCATGTCATTGAAAATTCAAATGCCTTTTCAACACCGCAGACACCAGATATTAAAGGTGAGGTCTAAGGAGCCCTTCTTAAAGGATGTGAACTCACTTTCTTGTTTTGGGCATGTACCCTTTCTCTTGCCTTCATTAGAGCTGTTTGAGATTCATATTCATCAATAAAAACTTATTTTGAAAATCCTAACATTAAGGAAAATTTATATAACTATACCATTGTAATAACTTTCTACTTTTCTGAGTTCATGATTACTTATATGATTCTGTATAGATGCAGTAATAGTTTAGATATAATTTATTCTTATTCCACTTAGTATATTGTGAGAATGTTTTCTCTGTTACTATATAATGTTAATTAGAATTTTTGTGGCCATAAGCGATAATTACTTTTCTATTGGGTATCTCTTATATTTTTTTGTAATTAATATTGTTGCAATCAACCTTATATGTATATATACTATAGCTTTTTTCCTCCTAATGATAAACTCCTAGGAGTAGGATTGCTGAGTTAAAGGACTTACGTACGTTTATGTCTCTTCATATGCTTTTCCAAACTGGTTTCTTTAAAGACTTTTGCCAATGTATATTGTCACAAATATGTATTGGTTGGTTCCATTCTAACCTCACTGTCACTGAAACTTGGTCTTTCATTACTGAAAGTTTTTTTCAATTGAGCATATTGTTTATTCTGGTATTGTTAAGTGCCGTCAAGTCAGTTCCGACTCATAACAACCCTGTGTAGGGTTTCTGAGGTTTTAAATCTTCAAGGGAACAGAAAGTCTCATCTTTCTCCTGTGGAGTGACCGGTGTGCTTGAACTACTGACCCTGTGGTTTGCAACCCAGTGCTTATGTATGGAGTCATTGCAATCCGTATTCTAGTATGACATTGTTGTTGTGAAGTACTGTCAAGCTGGTTTCCAAGGAGTGGCTGGTGAGTTTGGACCTCTGACTTTGTGGTTCAAATCGACCTTGAAGCCCAGTGCTCTCCTACAGGACTACACCAGGACTCCCTATTCTAGTATAGGTAAAATCAAATGTTCAGATGTTAGGTTTGTGACGGCTAGAGAGTGGCCTAACTAGGAACCAACTATCAGCTATTTATTAATTAGTTTCCTGCTTGGTTCAACAGTTATTATGGTGTGTTACAAAATTATGACAGAAATGATCTCTGGGACTTTGCTAGGTCTCTGAGTGTAGCTCTTACGTGCTTTATAGGGTATTCAGCTTAAAACTGGTCTACATACAAGGGTGCTTTGTTTCCTTCTCTTATAAAAATATCTCTAAACTTTGATTGAAGTGAGTTTGCTGGGGCCTGTGACCACTCCTGAGCATCAGCTCCTCAAGACCCCTTCATCCAGCTCCCTGTCACAGAGAGTCCGCTCCACCCTCTCCAAGAACACTCCCAGGTATGGAGAATTCCTTCTTAGGAAATGCGAGTTGAATGCTTCTTCAGACTTCTTTCCCATCATGTTGAAACTTACTAAAAGAAAAGTCGGACTGATTTTAACTATTGATATGACTATAAAAGGAAACCTGGATCACGGGATCCATTTTTTAAAAAAGGTTTTTAATATTATCCCTTCCTCATTTCAGGTGACCTTTAAGAGTACCTTACAGAGTCGTGGCTAGAGTGCCCTTCTTTTAATTGATTATATCAAATTTTATAATGTCATTTATCATTATATAACTATAATGCTGTTTATTCACCAATTTTGATAGAATGCATTCTAATTTCATTCTCCTTTTCTTTAGGTTTGGGAGCAAAAGCAAGTCTGCCACCAACCTAGGACGGCAAGGCAACTTCTTTGCTTCTCCAATGCTCAAGTGAAGTCGTGTCTGCCTGCTACTTCCGCAGCATTCCCGCCTGCAGGGGCGGCGCACCTGTACTCCGCTCTGCAGCCTCCTGTACTCATGACTACTTTTAGCATTCTCCGAGCTTTTAATCAAGTTAATTGTGCATGGGGGTTTTATTAAAACTATATATATATCTCCCTCTCCTTCTCCTCAAGTAACATATCAACACCTTGTGTTGGTGGTTTTGAGCTTTTAGATGGGAGATCTTTGCAGGGCTGAAGGGGTAGTGTGGATTATTGTGATTCTTGTTGAGGGAACAGGGGTGGGGGCAACATCCTTTGGCTTAAAGCCAAATACTGCGCATGGAATGAACTTTCTTTGGTGTCATTTCAAACTAATTTCCATGAGACGGTGACAGAAACCGAACTTCAGGGTGGGGGGTGGGAGGTGGGAGGAAGACAGAGGGTTTAGGATGGCTCCCCTGAGGACTAAGAAGTTCCCTTTCTCCCATTTTGAATTGAGTTATAACATGGAACTTTTATAAATACGTATCGAAGTATGTTTAGCTTTAATTTGGATTGATTAGCTCTTAATAGTGTTACCAGGCACAGCCTTGTAAATGTGATGCTAAAGCTTGTCTTTATCTCTGATGGGCCTCAGGCTGGACTTTAGCTTTAGTTTTGAGATCAAAGCCGGTTTATTCTAAAATTGAATTCATCCTGATTCTTGCTCTTTGACCCTGCTCCATCCTTACCTTGTCCACTGGAGCCCAACTTCTAAAGGTCATTGTGCCATGTATTTGGCATCACAACTAACCATTGAAAGTGGGCTGTAAGGGAAGATTGCCAATGTTTTATGTGGCCAGGGAAGCCATAGATTTTGTCTTTGCACTTTGGATGCTAAAATCTTCCTGTGGAACATACCCGCGTCTCCCATGGAACATAGCCACATCTAGATAAGTGTGAGCTTTTCCTTATTGCCATTATGTTTATAAAGATGATTTTTTCTATAGAATGTTTCTGACCCATATTGTCTGCAAAACGTATATTTGGAAAAAAATAAATAGCTTTTTCAAAATGAGCTTGAAGTTGGTTTTCTTGTCTTGGAAGGTAACCTTTCAGGCTTTTAGACAATATTTCCTTTGATAGCGTGTTCTGAGTCAGTTGTTCATCTCTATTTCTGGATAGAAAGATCAGTGGTACAAGCCCACCAGCTGCTTCACAGGAGAAAAACGTGGCAGTCAGGTCAAAAACCCTGTAGCCTAGTTCTGCTGTGTCCTTCAGGGTCACTGTACATTGGTATCTACTTTGAAGGGTAATGGGTTTGGTTTGATTGACCCACCCAACTTTACTACCACCAGGAAGTTGTCTTTTCATTTCTTATTCAGTCTTTTTCATGACCTAAAATGCAGTACAAATTTGTCCTATGATTATTACCCAATCTGTTGTTGAAGAAACTAAACAAAAACCAAAGCTTTTAGGGACCAGAATGGTGCAGATTTAAAAATAAATAAATAAATAAATGGACTCAACCCCTTGCTAAGCTTTTCGTTTCTACTCCTGGTCTATTGAATCAGAATCTACATATTACAAGAGCCCTAGGTGTATACATGAGAATATACGTATATAAGAATCAGAATTCTTGTAAGAGTCACCTCTCCAGGTTAAAAATATAGATTCTGTATTAGTGTACTGAGTTGAAAGGACAATTCTCAGCATCAAGTTGAGCCAGAATGAACCAGTTCGAAGCCCTGCTTGGAATATCCTTCGCTGCTGGAAGTGACTCCGGAGTGAACTGGGATCATTAACTGAGGGCACCTGCACTTGGAACTCTGACGCTCGTGAACAGAATGTATCTGAGACTGAACGTAAACAGTTGCAGGCTTAATATGTAACTGTGGAGAAAGGAGGCAACCTACTGGCTTTTTTCTCAGGAGGTGGCAGCTCTCACAGCAGGTCCCAGCTGCCTCAGCAAATGGACAGCAAATGGGTCCCATCTCCCTTTACACCCCCCTTCACACACACATGCCTGCTAGGTTTGTTTTTTTAAAAAACTGCTCTAAATGCTGTCTCTTCTTATGTCTTTGGAAGCCTAGTGTTGGCCTGGCTCCACATTTGCTGTTCTGTAGTATCTCCCCAAGGTACATTTTAAGTCACTAATGTAGAGAAAGTAAATGGATTGTATAACGTTAGTGAAGGCAAGACTACCTTGTGCAGGAACTGATGGCCCATTAACGAAAAAGATGGTCCTGTGTGTCAAATGTTGGCAGACAGTTGTTCAGTTTTTGGGCTAGGCCAGGAGACTTTAGCCATCAAAATAATTCTGATAACAGTTTAGGGAAATATGTGTCCACCTTCAACTTCTCTAACAGTACTTCATGTGGAACAGCTTGACTTTCAAGAGCTTTGTTGATTAAATTATGCTTCCCTGATGTGAGAGCTGTAGAAAGGGGCCCAGTGCTTTGCAGTGGCTGTCACCCCATCTGCTCATGATCCTTGCTCGTACTGACTCTTCCTCCACCTATAATATGGTTTAACTTTACTATTCCACTTGCTAATAACCAGAATCCTCAAACTGTGGTGTTTATCTCTGTTCTCCTCTATCAATATACGCGTAAGACGCCGGAGTTTGATGTTTAACTGGGCAAGCATTACATGGTTTGGTTTAGCAGCAACAATTTGTGTTTATTACTAGTTGCTTAACGATTTCTCCTTTCTTAAGAAGCTGGTTTCATTGCTTGCACAGATAGAGGAGAGCATGTCTTCAGGCAATGACCAGGAGATTTTATATCTTATGCAAGAAAGTGTCTTGAATTTCAATTTGAAGAACTATAGGATACTCAGTTGATATACCATGAAAAAAATAATCGTCATTTTTGGTCATGAACTGAACCTCTCCATGGCATTGAAAGGGGTCTTGAATTCTTCCAGGCACGCTTAAATTGTTGGGCAGCACAAATGATAAGGAATGCTGGGTGAGCACAGGAACAAAGATAATCCAGCTTGCTGCTTTGTTAAGGTGTGAAGCTTCAGATGTATGTATGTGTGTAACACACACATAAGGGGCTTCAAAAATTTCGTGGAAAATTCCATTTTCATTTAATTCCATTTTCCATGGACTTTTTGAAACCCTCCCCAAATATACATATAAAACAACTCACTATCATGGCATTGATTCTGACTTGGCTACTCTAGGATTGCCCCATAGGGTTAAGATTTCCAAGACTAAATATGGAAGCAGACTGTCTTGTCTTCAGTTGAGTAACTGGTGGGTTCCAACCTCTGACCTTTCACTTAGCAGCTCGATGCTCAACCTATGGCTCCACCAGGACATCTTCATGTGTACATGTATTATGTATTCTTTTCTATTGGAGAAGCATTTGGAGAACCCTCTGCTATGCCTGGTAGCCAAGTAGTTTTCTTAATCACGCATGACTTTTTCTTAGCCTCTCAGAATGAGCAGAGTAAAGAGCAGTTGCAGAAGTCCAGATTTGAGCAAGGGTGGCATAGAATTCAGTGTTAAAGTAGACCCCACACACACAGTAGGTTCTTGATAAATGTGTTTTCATGGTAGTGTTGGTGATGACTCAGGTTTCAGCCACTGATGTGAAAAGCTTTTAAACATGCAGAGTTGGGGCATGTTAGCCCTCGTGCTTTAAATGTAAACAGGGTGCGGAAAATGGCCACTTAACCTAAGAACTTCGTAAAAAAATTTTTGTATCTGCTCCCAGTAGCTGGTATATTTTGTAAATAAATGAAGGCACCAGGCCAGGAGGTCCCTTAACTTGGGTAATTTATTAGACACGGGTTCTCAGCTGTATTTGTTGATGGTTTCTGTTCATGAAGTCAGGCAGAAGACAGCCTGATATTACCTAGTAGTGTTTTGTCCTCTGCAGCTGTGTGGGATGGGGAGAGGTGCCTTGGTGGCACTGTAGGGAAAACACTGGTCTGCTGACCATAAGGTCAAAGGTTCAAACCCACCAGTGACTCTGAGGGAGAAAGATGAGATTGTCTGCTCCCGTAAAAGATTTACAGTCTGCAGTGGGTATGGTTTTGATCTTACCCATCCTAGAGCCCTGGCTGCCACAGAGGGCTGTCTGAGGCGTACTCCAGTTGCATACTACTTTCAGTGAGAGTGCAGCCACAGGGGAAGGAAGGGTGTTGTAGACATCAACCAGTCATTTGTAGGACTGGCAGAAAGCAAGTTAGTGCCTCACTCTGGTTCTGCCACACTCCATGAAGTCTTTCCATTTGTGTGTCAAAGATTTAGTTGGTGGTTTCCATTACTTGGGATGAAAGTAGACACAGTCTTTCCTCCAGGAGCTTGTAATTGAATTAGTTTTCTCTCAACAGATGATCCAGAAAGGAACAAGGAGGCCCAAACTGCTGGGAAAAGCATTTGGGACCAGGAAGGTTTCTTAATGGTTGGGGTTATTGCCAAGTAGAGACTTGGTGATCCGGGCTGTTTTCTGAGTGGAAGGAGGGAAGCACTCAAGGTTGCTCTGGTGGGAGTGGGAGTGTGTTCTCAGGCCACCCACCCATGTGAATCCCTCGTGCTTTGAAGCCCAAAGCCAAGAACAGACGAGTCTCTGAGCCAAAGCCATCAGCCTGCCTCTAGAAACGTGTCAGCGGATTAGTTTATTGGCTTTTCCCCTGAGTGGCATTAGCTCTCACCCTGTTTCGTGTTCATCATCTGGCTTTGAGTAAGAAGTCTTTGAGTGATCTCTCTTCAGCAGCTTGCTCTGTGCCAGGGCGGGTCAGCTTTCTCCCTCATCAGCCCAAGGGCTCAGCTCTCCTTAACAGAGGTAGTAGTTAGCCTGCTGTGTCCACACCTGGGGTCAGAAAAAATACGACTGTAGACTTCGGGGTGGAGGT